ATTTTGCATATCCTCTTTCGAAAACAAAGCATAGTCTAGGCAAACCCTAAATCAGAATCAGCCTGGCATTTGCCCGTTACTTGGCTTCATTGCCACTTCAATGGCTCTTTTGCAGGGTCCCTCTTCTGCAAACAGTCTGGCAGGTTTTGTCACTGTTCAATTAACCAGATCCTCTCAGGAGGAAGCCGAGCCACACAACAGGGACAGGAAGAGCCGTGTAGATGGATGCAAAAACCCAGTAGTGCCCCAAATTTTTGGGTGCCCCAAGAAACTACTGAGCTCTTCTCGGACGTTTCCCAGGCAAACTCCTCTGTTGGCTGCTGCCCTGTTCCCTGTCTCTGTATTCGCTCTGGCTGCCTTTCAATTGCTAACATGCCTGTAGAAACCTGTTGGGCCCATTGGGAAGGGGGCTGGACTTCATCACTCCTGAGGTCTCTTCCTACCCTAGGATTCTATGATTTTGTTAAATTCAGATTCCGTCACGGCTCTGCTGCCCCGACGACTGGTCACGTCTTCTCCTGTAATTCTATTTCCCCTCCCTTTCTCTGCCTTTCCTGCTGGGACTGTGGGATGTGTGACAGTTGCACTGTATTTTCTGTGTATGTTTGGTGCCCCTATTTCCAGCACTTGTAGTTAGCCAGCAGCAGTAGAGCTGAATATCTAGGAGCTAATATCTAGGCTTTGCCTGGGAACTGCAATTCATTGTACCCCATCAACGGCATTGATAGTTTAATACCTATGCTGTCAACTACCAACACTGCTACTTACTCAGTCTTGCTATTCAGCAACATGGCAGAAATACACCCCATTGCAATAACGTGACTGGGGTCCGATTTTAAAATTATTAGACTAAAACTAAATTATTGGACTTCTCACTGCAGTTACCATGTAAGCTGCTGGTCTGAGATATTTTCTATGTAAATTAAATTAAAGAAACACTAGCTTTTGAACTCCAAAACTCTTCCAGGGACGTCTTTATTCCCGAAAGATAACTTGTGTACTTTCAAACTCAACCATTTATTTTCTTTAATTTACCTGAAAAACTTTCAGCTTGCAGAGGCGTATCTGGACTCATCAGATTCTTAATGAAGAGAAACACAAGTTTGTTTTTCACAATTTCTATGAGAAGTCGACTCTTTTCTGCTCAGAGTGGGGAAAATACCATCCAAGCAGCTGGAAATCTTTCACTAATAAAAATGACAAGTCATGAATTGTTCCCGTTGTCACTCCCAGTTCCATTATGAAATCTGACCAGGACATTCACACCTTAACCCGTTGGATTGAAATAAGAGACTTACTGTGCCAGGCTTTCCAGGGTGTTTGCTGCACCGGACACTTCACTGCAGGGACTCTGCCGTCAGTGCGAATCTGTCAGCTGCAAACATAGTCACTACTCAGGATGTCCCTGCTCTGCAGCTAAGTAGCAGAACCCATAATCCAGGGCTGGTAGCCCAGCTCTGATCTCACCTCCAGAGCAAACTGTCCTGTTACCCCGCCCTAGATGACCCAGACCCGCAAAGGTGAACATAAGGTCCCCCAGATCTCACCAATAGACTCATAGACTTTAAGGTCAGAAGGGACCATTATGATCATCTAGTCTGACCCCCTGCACAATTCAGGCCACAGAATCTCCCCCACCCCCTCCTAGAATAATCCTCTCACCTATCTCTCAGATATTGAAGCCTTCAAATAGTTTGAAGACCCCAAGATGCAGAGAATCCTCCAGCTGTGATCTGTGCCCCATGCTACAGAGGAAGGTGAAATGTACCTGGAAGGACCCTGGCTACAGCCAAGGCAGGGCTGAGGAGCAGTGGGAAGGAGAATGCAGAAGAAGCTCTATATTATCAGCACAGCCATGCAACAGAGAACAGCCCAAAGCTGATGTATCCCAGAGTCCCAGCTGGCCTGGAGCAGCCTGGTACTTCGTTAACCCCACACCATCCACTCTGGGAGATTTTTTGTCTCCTCTGTGTTGCCCCAGCAGCTCTTGGGATGCAGCCACCAGAGGATCCCACAGCTCAGGATGCCCCAGGTGTTTGATTTTGGTCACTAAGAAGCAGCTGGAGGGAAATTCAGTGCAGGGTCCTAAACTCATGTCAAGTGATACAGTCTAAGAATTCCAAGTCCTCCCTGTCGAGCGGAAATGCAGCCCTTTGATTTCCATGGAGCTGGGCCCATTCTTTGGTCTGCATCCATATTCCTTACCTGTGAAACTGAACTGAAGATGAGAGAAAATTTTGCAGCCTTTCTGCATTATCAGGACACATGTTACTCCATCGGACTCCATGGGGTCAAGGTGACTCCCCTGACACCTTGGCTTCTGGATTGCAGGAGGGAAAATCCACTTCTTACAAAGCTAAATGTGCCATTGCTGCAAGCAGATTCAGTTCCACTGGTCATCTGGAAAAGTCAGCTGTGCCCACAAAATCTCATGACACCATCTACATGTTTTGTTAGACTTTACGGTGCTGCAAGACTCTTCATTGTTTAAGTTTTTGCATGATCTTAGTTCTTTGCCACATGGGATTAATTGCAGAGTGTAACTTGTAATGAAGGAGTAATTTATTCCCACAGCTGTATGAACTTTTGTAAAAATTCAGTGCAGCTTAGTTTTTCTATAGCTTATTTTCTGTTTTTATTAGCATCCTTCTTTCTTTCTTTCTTTCTTTCTTTCTTTCTTTCTTTCTTTCTTTCTTTCTTTCTTTCTTTCTTTCTTTCTTTCTTTCTTCGGTACCATTGAACATTTGAAGGGGGAAGCTGCCTTGTGGTTGGGTTGAGCAGGTGACTTAGGGTCTACACTACAACCTTGCGCTAGTGCAGCTGCACTGAGGTAGTGGCCACGCTATTGCACTTTTGGGATGAGTCTCAAAGCCCTTATACTGATAGCGAGCGGGTGAGCTTGTGTGGCTGGTTTTTCTCAAGGCTTGCACAACGTGCTGGGGGGACTAACGGGCTGAAAGGTGAAATATTAAGTGTGTGTCTTCATAGCACCCTAAACTCAAAATAAGAGACATGGTTTGCACTACCCAAATTGCACAACTTATTTCAAGTCTATATCAAAATAGGCTATTTCGTAATTGGTCTACACAGCACTGCGTTTCGAAATAACACACTATTTCGAGACATCCCTTAACCCTCATGGAACGAGGGTTAAAGGGATGCCGAAAGAGTGGCTCCGCTTTATCTTGAAATAGTGGGCACGTACAAAAGAGCTACCCCAAAATAGCCGTGCCGTGTAGATGTACCCGAAGTGACCGAGGGAGCTGGAAACAGAAGCAGCAAAAAGAGGTACTAGAGATAGAGGCACATGAATGAAGTATATGATGGGTGATGGTGCCATTGTTTTTGAAAGGCGGTGTGCGGGTGGGGCATTGGAGCAACAGGCAGCACAAGGGCAGGACATCAGAGTGGCATGAGGGGCAGGAGCTTGTGACAATTCAAGGTGGGAGGACAGGACTTCAGGGGCTGGTGGTGTGGATGGGTGGGGCTATATTTCATGTGCTGGCAGCCCCCACTGTTAGGAAATGTCCATCACCTCTGGTTTGACAAGGAGTTTGTAGGAGAGCAAAGAATAAAATCATCAGGGCTCAGAAAGGCCTTGGCATCCATGCCAATGTTGCATCTATGCCACGACAGAGAAGCCAACTGTGGATTCATCTCCCCAGATCCTGATGTGCATTTGCAGAGGCTGGTGTCTGCATTTCCATCCTAGAAAGTCAGGCTGGGGATGCCATCTAGCATGAGAGGCATCTGCTGGTAGAATCTGCCAGGCAGCGGGTGGGAGAGCTGCTGAGGGAAGGTGATTGACTGAGGACCATCCATGCTCGAGAGCTGTTTATTGAAAATAGGTCTGTGGAGACCCCTTAGGCTGAGGAAGCCACCCAGCTACACAGGATGGGAGCAGCACTATGGCTCTATTACAGGAAGGATGGATGTATTTAGTTAGTTGGGTCTCGAAATAAAAAAATAATACACATAATTATAGAAGGATTTACGTGCCCTAAGACATTATAAATAAACTATCAAAATTAAACCAATAAACCCATCACAATTAAATTAATAATTTAAATAGCAACTATCTAGAAATCTGTAGACACTTTTTAAAAAATTCTTCATAATTGGAAAAAAGAAAATGTCAAGTCTGCAGAAAGCCCTTCAAAGGCACCTTGACTAAACGACAAAATTCATGGATGCATTCATGTACTCAAATATTCCCACTTGGCAAATTCCATAAGTCACCTGGAACAAAGAAAAAAGTCAACCAACTGTAACCCTTCTGCTGGTAGCAGTCAGCAGACAGAAGGGCCGGGTTCAGCATCTAGGGAGGTTCTTTCAACAAGGTAACTAATACAGGCTCAAGTCCACCCAGTCAAATAGGAAAATTCCAACCTACCCACAGGGCACCGTTAGAGGCAATTCTTCTGCTCTTGCAAGCACTGAGTCAGAGATAGAAACAGTCTGTTTAACAACAGCAATCTAGCACCAACCTACAGGAACACATATAAACAAAGCAAATTCATAACCTGAAAGAAACCTGTAAGCCAGTTTCCATCCCCGGAGTTGGCCGGGAAGAGTCTTTTGCTTAATGTCGAACCCCACTTCAAACACCCCACTTACAGCTCTGTCCAATCAGTGCCGACCCAGAGTCCATAGGCACATCATCGTGATGTTGCCAGTCACCGAGCATGTGGCAATGCCACCTACGAGCTGCTCCTGCCAGCTGCCTTGCTGGCCGCCTACCATTGCTCTCACTGGCCACCTTCTAGCTGCTCCTGCCAGCCGCCTGCTGGCCAAGTGCTCCTGCCAGCAACCCCGCCACCATGATGGATCTGGCTTTGGGTTGAACCTAGTGATTTCAGTTCCTTGTGTTGTCAGTTTCTCAGTGATTTCAGCTGTTGGCTCATCACCTAGGTAGGCCAAAAGATTCCAGCTTCTGCTGGAATCATATTTTAAAATAATACAGAGACCCCCTTGGGGAATCTGTTTCAGTTCTATCCTTAGAACGGGATGGGGTGGGGCAGGTGGAAGGGGAAGAGGAGATTGAACCAGTCTTACCATTCATGCCTGGAGGGCATGTAGCCTACTGGTTCAAGCTCCTTCCCCCCAAACCAATCCACTTGAGTCTGGAAGGGGGAGGCTTGTCCATCCAAGACTTTTTGTAATGACAGTGTCTCTCTTGCAACCACTGGGATCGTATTTTACAATTCCTACATTTTGGGTTAATACTGTTTGTGACCCCACAATGTCCAAACTAGTTACAACACACCACATTCCATTCTAACAACTGACCATCCCTCAGGCCTATAGCACTGGCTGAACTGGGTTGACATAACCACACCCAGGATTTCTTTCCCATTCTAGCACATCAACAGTTGATGATCTTGCAGACTTAAACAACTAAGTGAGCATAACCACACTTAGGACTGCCTCCCCCAACAGCTGGTTGCATTGGAAGCAGGGGTTCAGACCCTGCTTACACGATGAAACAGTAAAATGAAACAGCATGGAAAAAAAACATGATGCAAACAAAGTCAAGCTTCTCGTACACCATCCACAGTTGTTCTCCATCCCAAAAAGGAGAAGTGACCAAAAATTAATGAAGCTCATTAGTGACATAACTATGGCTGTTGATATCCTGTGCAACATGCTCAGATAACGTGGTTTTATTACCAGTAGGAATACTTATGGCCAACTACATAGGTTCAGAACTTACTTACACTGGTGTGATTGAAAATTAACTCATTTAATGCCAGGGGCATTAGTCTGCATTTTATGACTTCCTAATCAGGTGCATCCTGTCATACAGCAGGTCATCTTGACCACTAGCTTTCACGTGTGCCAGTCATGTCTGCATCAGGCACTGACCACAAGGCCCTGAGCCAGACGTCATATCAAAAGGAAGGAACCCTAATATGGTACCGGATATCAAAATTATAGTATAAAGCACCCTGGGTATGTCTACACTACCACCCTAGTTCGAACTAGGGTGGTAGTGTAGACATACCCAGGGTGCTTTATACTATAATTTTGATATCCGGTACCATATTAGGGTTCCTTCCTTTTGATATGACGTCTGGCTCAGGGCCTTGTGGTCAGTGCCTGATGCAGACATGACTGGCACACGTGAAAGCTAGTGGTCAAGATGACCTGCTGTATGACAGAAGCCTAATCCGAACTACCTAGTCCGTGCCGCGTGTAGACATACCCCCTGAGCCCTAAGCTCGGGGAGGTTCCGTATCAAGGTAGAAGACACGTATCGTCCAGCCTGGCTGAGGAGCTGATCACCCGAGGCCACCTCCCACCCACCGAATCAAGAAAAGGGGTGTACAAATCTTGGGCATGCTATACGTTGTTTTTTGTCTGTGCATCGTAATCGTTACTGGGCTTGTAGGTATTGCTTCTTATGTTGTGTTAACCATTTCATATTTAGAAGTTGTCAAGTATAAGTAGACTAATGACTAACTCCGCCACCTCATCAAAGATAACCATAGAAGGATTGGCTGTATGAGGAGTTTTTATTATTGCTATATTGTTTTTATTTGTTGTCAATTTTTTTTGCATGCTGTGCTGTCTAAGACGAATCAGAGGCAATGACTTAATATAATTAAAACTGTAGTCAATAAAGTTGGTAATTGGTTAAGCATATCTCAGCTCGGGCTTTCCTCCTTTGCAGCCACCATTCCGTCATCACAAATGCCACCCCTACACAATCTTTTGAGCTTCTGGTTCGTCACATCCAATCTTCTGAGAGACAGAATTTTATCATTATTTGATTAGATTCATAAAGAAGCTCAGAATGAACTCACAGTCAAGACACAATGAGAGACACTTTAATTCTTGGTGAATAACTTGTACACAATCACTTTCTTTAATGCAGCTTGAAGCTCCTTGTTCCTCAGGCTGTAGATGACCGGATTCATCATGGGGGGTACCAGGGAATAAACAACAGTCACTGTGAGATCTAGATCTGATGCCGAGCTGGAGGTGGGTTTCAGATATTCAAAGAAGCTAGTACAAAGGAACAAAGAGACAACTGTGAGGTGAGGGAGGCAGGTGGAGAAGGCTTTACGCTGGCCCTGCTCCGAGGGGATTCTCAGAACTGCTTTGAAGATCTGAACATAAGAAACAATGATAAAAATGAAGCAATTCAAAGATAAAAACACACTGAAGGCAAGAAGCCCAACTTCACTGAGGTAGGAGTCAGAGCAGGCCAGCTTGAGTAGAGGGGGGATTTCACAGAAGAACTGGTCGACGTCGTTGGACTGGCAGAAGGGTAACCGGAAGGTGTTCCCGGTGTGCAGGGCAGAGTAGACAGTAGCAGTGATCCAGGCACTGGCGGCCATGTGGACACAGGCTCTCCTGTTCATCACTCTCTCATAGTGCAGTGGTCGGCAGATGGCGATGTACCGGTCATAGGCCATGATGGTGAGTAACGCAAGATCTGCCGCAATGAAGACTACAAAGAAGAAGACTTGGGCGACACAGGCAGGATAGGAAATTGACCTGGTGTCCAAGAGGGAGTTGGCCATGGATTTGGGGATGATGACAGAGATGGAGCCAAGGTCTATAATGGACAGGTTCCCCAGGAAGAAGTACATGGGGGTGTGTAGACGGTGGTCGAGGGCGATGGCTATGAGGATGAGAAGGTTCCCCATCAGGGCTGCCAGGTAAAGCACCAGGAAAAGTGCAAAGTGCAAAACCTGCAGCTCCCGGGTGTCAGAGAAGCCCAGGAGCAGGAACTCGGTCACGGAGCTTCTGTTGAACATTTTCTTCTTCAGTTCACTGTGTTGGCTGTGGAGGGAAGGACACAGACAGGGGTGGGGATTAGGGTGTTACACAGAATGCCCCTGATTCCCTGCAGCAACCTCCCATGTCCAGTGTCTGTCCCAGCTACTCCCTAGTGGCAGTGAGTTACACACGGGTGTCAAATGGCCTGTCTCCCAGTCAGGACATGGAGCTGCATCTGTTTGCACCATCCAAAGATCTGGGAGTGGTGGAGGATGGCTTAGGATAGGGCTGGATACAATGCTCTATGAAGGATGGAGCAAAGCACAATCCCACCCGCAACAACTACATCCAAGAAGGACCCTCTGTTGCTACGACCAGCAAGGGCATGAACCACAGCGAGGTGGGGGAGGCAGGTGGAGAAGGCTTTGTGCCGGCCCTGCTCCGAAGGGATTCTCAGCACCGCTCTGAAGATCTGAACATAAGACACAAGGATGAAAACAAAGCAGTGTAAACCTAAAAGCACACTAAAGGCAAGAAGCCCAACGTCAATGAGGTCCGAGTCGGAGCAGGTCAGCTTGAGGAGCTGGGGGATATCACAGAAGAACTGGTCGATGACGTTGGACTGGCAGAAGGGTAGCATGAAGGTGCTACTGGTGTGCAGGGCAGAGTAGACAATACCAGCGATCCAGGCACCGGTGGCCATGTGGACACAGGCTCTCCTGTTCATCACTCGCTCATAGTGCAGCGGGAGGCAGATAGCCACGTACCGGTCGTAAGACATGATGGTCAGTAAAGCAAGATCAGTTGAAGCGAAGACGACAAAGAGAGAGACTTGGGCAACACAGGCTGGGTAGGAAATCACCCTGGTGTTCAGGAGGGAAATGACCATGGATTTGGGGACGGTGGCGGAGATGGAGCCGAGGTCCAGGACTGACAAGTTCCCCAGGAAGAAGTACATGGGGGTGTGTAGACGGTGGTCGAGGGCGATGGCTATGAGGATGAGAAGGTTCCCCATCAGGGCTGCCAGGTAAAGCACCAGGAAAAGTGCAAAGTGCAAAACCTGCAGCTCCCGGGTGTCAGAGAAGCCCAGGAGCAGGAACTCGGTCACGGAGCTTCTGTTGAACATTTTCTTCTTCAGTTCACTGTGTTGGCTGTGGAGGGAAGGACACAGACAGGGGTGGGGATTAGGGTGTTACACAGAATGCCCCTGATTCCCTGCAGCAACCTCCCATGTCCAGTGTCTGTCCCAGCTACTCCCTAGTGGCAGTGAGTTACACACGGGTGTCAAATGGCCTGTCTCCCAGTCAGGACATGGAGCTGCATCTGTTTGCACCATCCAAAGATCTGGGAGTGGTGGAGGATGGCTTAGGATAGGGCTGGATACAATGCTCTATGAAGGATGGAGCAAAGCACAATCCCACCCGCAACAACTACATCCAAGAAGGACCCTCTGTTGCTACGACCAGCAAGGGCATGAAAGAAAAATTCCAGCAGTGCCTGAGCATCATTATCTGGGGAAATGTGAGACTCACAGTGACTCAGTATCCTGCATGGCAGCTCATCTGTCAAACTCCATTGCAACATTCCATGGACGTCCCACTGCCTCCGGATTGACACAGGATCCCAGCTCCACCTCTCTGTACAGGTGGGCTAGTAACAGCTCCCAGCGACCTCCCTGCTGTGTCATTGCCTCTCATAGAATCAGAGAACCCCAGGGCTGGAAGAGACCTCAGGAGTCATCGAGTCCAGCCCCCTACCCAAAGTGGGACCAACCCAACTCAATCCTCCCAGCCATTGCTTGGTCAACCTGGAACTTAAATATCTCTAGGGATGGAGGTTCCAACCCCTCCCTAGGGAACCCATCCCAGTGCTTCCCCACCCACCTAGTTTTTCTTAATATCCAACCTAGAGTTGACCTGCTGCAACTTGAGACCATTGCTCTTCATTCTGCCATCTGTTTCCACTGAGAACAGCCTCTCCCCGTCCTCTTTGGGACTCTAATTCAGGGAGTTGAAGGCTGCTCTCAAATCCCCCCTCACTCTTCTCTTCTGCAGACTAAACAAGCCCAAATCGCTCAGCCTCTCCTTGTGCTCCAGACTCCTCATTATTTTGGTTGCTCTCCGATTGACCCTCTCCTATGCGTCCACATCCTTTCTGTAGTGAGGGGCCCAGACTTGGATGCAAAACTCCAGATGTGGCCTCAGTAGTGCCAAATAAAGGGGAATAATCACTTCTCTGGATCTGCTGGCCATGCTCCTCTTAATGCACCTTAATATGCCATTAGCCTCCTTGGTGGCTCATATGAGCTTCTCATTCACTGGAATCCCCAGGAATTTTTTGCTGAATTGCTACTTAGCCAGTCAGTCCCCAACCTGTAACAGTGTTTGGGATTCTTCTGTCCCCAGGCCAAGACTCTACACTTGTCCCTGTTGAACCTCATCAGATTTTTTTTGGCCCAATCCTCTAATCTGTCCAGGTCACTCTGGACCCTGTCCCTGCCCTCCAGTGTATCTACCTGTCCCGCAGCTTAGCGTCATATGCAGACTTGCTGAGGGTGCAATCCATCCCCTCATCCAGGTCATTCATAAAGATGTTGAATGAAATTGGCCCTAGAACCTATTTTTGGGGCACTCTGCTTCAAACCAATCACAAACCAGACATCGAGCCGCTGATCACTACCTGTGGGGCCCAACAATCTATCCAGCTTTCTATCCACCTCACAGTCCATTTATCCAATCCATACTTCCCTAACTCGCTGGCTAGAATATTGTGTGCTGAAGTCAAGGTAGATCACATCCACCGACTTTCCCAGAGCCACAGAGCCAGTTACCTCATCACAGAAGCTAATCAGGTTGGTCAGGCATGACTTGCCCTTCATGAATCCATGTTGACTACTCCTGATCACCAGGGCTGAGCCCCACTTGCCATCCGCGCTGTCTGGCGATCTGCACTTGCCGGAACCTGGCTCTTCCCCGGGCGAGTAGATCATATAATTTGTCGAGCCCTGCTGATCACTCTCCCCTCTTCCAAGTGCCTCAAAATAGATTCCTTAATGATCCCCTCCACGATTTTTCCAGGGACCGAGATGAGGCTGACTGGTCTGTAGTTCCCTGGATCATCCTTCTTCCTTTTCTTAAAGATGGGCACTACATTTGCCTTTTTCCAGTCATCTGGGACATCTCTATTTCTGGGGAGCTATTGGGACACCTGGATTCTATTCTTGGCTCTAGCACCAACCTGCCATGTAATATCGGTCTGGCCACTTCCCTCTGTTTCCTTTCCCTCCCTTTCTCTGCTTTGTCTGCTGGAACTGATGGCTGTCAGGGGTTTGCACTGTGTTATGTGTGTTCAGTTCCTCTGTTTGCAGCACTTGTAGTTAGCCGGCAGCAGCAGAAAGGGCATACGGTGGTAGAGCTGATTGTCTAGGTGCTAATCTTATTGACTTCTCCTATATGCTTGGGTAGAGTTAATGGGCGGGAGGGGGATGTTAATTCACTGTTCTCCATTGGAGGCATTAATATGTTTAATATCTGTGCCATGGACTGCCTACTTCGCTGCTTGTTCAGTCTTACATTCAACAAGTAAGCAGAAATATACTTGTTGCAATAGAGTGACTGGGTGCAGATTTTACTATTATTAGATTATACCAAAGTTCCCACCCAGCTTCAACCTAAAATACCAATCTGGGAAACTCAGACATTGTCTGTTTAAATTATATCAAAGACACACCGGGGATTCAACTCCAAACAACTTCTGGGAAGTTCTGTTACTCTTGAAAGAAAACCTGTGCTTTGGAAAACTGCACACTGGTTTTCCTTCCTTTACCTGAAAACGTTTCCGTTTCTGGTGATTTGGCTGAAATTTTCTGGTTCTTATTGAACAAAAGCAAAAGTTTGGTTTTCACAATGGGGAGAACAAGTCAACTGTTGGCAGGAAAAAAAAAAACCTTTCCAAGCGGCTACAAACATTTCAGTAAATACAGAGAACAAGTCGTGACTTGTCTCTCCCAGTTCCATTATGAAATCTCCCCAGGACATCCACACCTAACACTGTTGGATTAAAATAACAGACTTACCGTTCCTGCGCTGCACCAGACACTTCACTGCCGGGATCCTGCCATCATTACCTGTCTGCGAACGATGCTCCATCACTGAGTTAGCCAGCAGCTGGTTCCTTGTCCCTCCCTTGTATTTCTCCATCTCAGGGAAGCTTGAACGAGAGGCGAAGGGCCAAACAGGAAGGGTGTAGAAAGTCAGCTCGCTCTGCAGCTGAGAAACTGATCCTGGCACGTTCAAGCAGCAAACCTGGTCACAACTCCAGATGTGCCTGCTCTGGGGAAACAGCAGATCCGACAGTCCGGGCCTGTGATCCCGGCTCCGACCTCACCCCTGGAGCAAATTACCCTGTCGCCCTGCCCTAGCTGACCCTGGAAGGAATCTGGCTACCCACAAGACAGGGCTGAGGAGCTGTGGGATGGAGACGGCAGAAGAAGCTATTTATGGCTAGCACAGGCAAGTGACAGAACGACCCAGCACTGCTGTGCACCAGAGCCCCAGCTGGCCTGGGACAGTCTGCTCTGTTGTTAACCCCACACACTCCACTCTGGGAGAGCAGAAATTTTTGTGTCCCGTGTTGCACCAGCAGCTCGTGGGATGCAGCCCCCCAGAGGACCCCACAGCTCAGGCTGCCCCGGGTGGTTGACTCTGGCCAGGAAGAAGCAGCCGGTAGGAAACTCAGCGCAGCGTCCTAACCTGCTGTCAGCTGACACAGTCTCCTTGCATTCCGTGTAATGAGGGCTTGTCAAGCGGAGATGCCGCTCTTTGGTTTCAAGTGAGCTGATTTTATTTGCATCTGCTGGAAGGGGCTTAGAGAAGGGGGCTGGGGATGTGAGGGGGTCAGGAGTCAGGGCTGGGGGTTGAGGAGGGGCAGAGGTTGGGGAGCGTTGAAGGTGCAGAAGTCAGGGTTTGGGGAGCAAAGAATCCTAGAATCCCAGGACTGGCAGAGACCTCAGGAGTCATCATGTCCAGCCCCCTGCCCAAAGCAGGACCAACCCAACTCCATCATCCCAGCCAGGGCTTGGTCAAGCCGGGACTTAAACACCTTTAGGCATGGAGATTCCACCCCTCCCCCGCCCAGGAGCCTACCCCAGAGCTTCCCCACCCTCTTAGGGAAATAGTTTTTCCTCTAGACCTAGACCTAGACGTCCCCCACTGCAACTTGAAACCATTGCTCCTCGTTCTGCCATCTGCCTCCACTGAGAACAGCCTCTCTCCATCCTCTTTGGAACCCCCCTACAGGAAGTTGAAGGCTGCTCTCAAATCCCCCCTCGCTCTTCTCTTCTGCAGACTAAATAAGCCCAAATCCCTCAGCCTCTCCTCGCAGGTCTGTGGCATGGGCGGGGGGCTGTCTGCTCTGTGACTCGGGGTTCCCCTGCGCTGGGATGGGAGATTCTCACTGACTCTTCCAAATGTGTATTAACCCAGACACCCAGGCTCAGCCTCCCAGGGAGGGAGACAAAGGGAGGAGGGCGGAGACCAGCACATGGCTGGGGGGCAGAGCTGGAAGGGAGTTTCTATCTGGAATCATTGAGGGAAGCAGCCTAAGCAACGGGCTGGGATTTAGGGGCCCAGTCTCCCCCATCTCAAGGGGGGCTGAGGCATCCTAGGCCTGCCCTGTAACCAGATTACATCTGTGCTGTGCTGTATCCTGGAGAAGCAATTAACTCCCTCTATTCTACTGGCTGACGGAGTCTGTTCATGCCACTACGAGGGTGCAGGAGGCGGGAGAACCCCGACGCACTTCATATGCTCCAGCCCCCTGAATCATTTTGGTTGCCCTCCACTGGACCCTCTCCAATGTGTCCATATCCTTTCTGTAATGGAGGTCCCAGAACAGGACACAATACTCCAGATGTGGCCTCTCCAGTGCCGAATAAAGGGGGATAATCACTTCTAGGCACATCCAATTGTCCTGGAGCAATCACACCCTGTTCTTGCTTTAGGTTATGATAAGAGGAAGCTGCCTATCAAATTTGGTGATCCTCGTTCTTGCTGTTTTGGAGGAGTTTTTGAACAAACAGTCAGATGGACAGACAGACTCGCTCACTCACAGACAAGCAAGCTTTCTCAGATACGTAGCAGAAGAAGATAAATTAAATTTGTAACTAAGAACTTCCATTCAACTCCAGAGGTACTGAGATTCCCTTCTCCCTGCTATTTAGTTGCCTGATGGTTGGGTCTACAATACTGAGCAGGAAAATGATTTGCCCGGCATTTCAACTGTACAGCCAGCATAATTCCAGCTTTTTATTTGGTCCTCACCTGCCTGAGTGTCTGATTTCCCCAGTATAGAAATTAATTTTTATCCTGGTCACTCACCTCGTCATATGAGAACTGACATAAATATTTTTTATCCTCAGATCCAGCTGTTGCCGAGAAAGTATTTTCCATCTTACCTAGTGTCCTGCCTCCAACCACCCCATGGAAAGCGGGACCCTTACCACCATTGACAGTTGTTTTAATGGTTCCGTAGATTCCAAAGCCCAAAGGAATCAGCTCATATAACACAGGGAACAAGACTTTCCTAAAATAATTTCTACAGTAGAGAACAACTTTCCATCTTAATTTAAATATTTTCAATGAGGTAGAATCTACTATTAACATTAGTATATTGTGCCAATAGTTAATTATACTCACCATTAAAATGTACAGCGTATTTCTAATCTGAACTTGTCTTCAACATCCAGACATTGGACGATATTAGACCGCTGTCTAATAGACCGAGGAGCCCCAGGTAGATACTTGTCAGCTGCAATCAAGTCACCCTTTCACTGTAACTTTGTTAAGGTAAATAGATTGTGTTCCTTCAGCCTGTCACTACAAGGCCTGGATTCAAATCCGTTATCCATTTTCATGTCTTTTCTGAGTCCTGTCCTGTTTATCAATATTCCTCCTGAATTATGGGCACCAAAACCGAACACAATATTCCGACACCAATGCCAAATACAGATGTCAAATAACTCCTTAGCTTTACTTTACCTTTTCCCCATCTAGGCATCCCATTTAGGGGCACACTTCAAGAGAGATGTGGAAGAATTGGAGAGGGCCCAAAGAAAAGCAGAAAAAAAAACAGATCTAGAAAACATGATCTATGAAGGAAGACTGAAAGAATTGGGTTTGTTTAATTTGGAAAAGAGAAGGCTGAGAGCAGACATATTAGCAATTTTCAAGTGTGTAAAAGGGTGCTACAACGAGGAGGGAGAAAAATTGGTCTCTGACCTCTGAGGATAGGACAAGAAGCAATGAGCAATGAGCTTTTAAATTGTGGCAAGGGAGATTTCGATTCAAAATTAGGAAAAACTTCCTACCTGTCAGGGTGGTGAAACATTGGAATAAATTGCTGGGGGAGGTTGTCCCTGGAGATATTTATCCCTGGAGATATCTAAGAGAAGGTTAGGTAGACATGTATCAAAAATAATCTAGATGGTGCTTGATCCTGCCATGAGGGCAGGGGACTGGACTCGATGACCTCTCAAGGTCCCTTCCAGTTCTATTGTGCTAGGATTCTATGATAATCTTAATAAGTTAGAAAAGAAAGTGAAGGCAGACCAAGAGTTGGATGGGGTAGATGGGCTTCTTTATTGCATTTACTTCTTCCGCCCCAACACACACACACACACACACACACACACAGCTATGCAAAGACTTCTTCCGCCCCAAAACCAACCATTCAAGTGAGCAGTACATTAATGACATGACACTCTTTTATCAAAGTTACCAGTAAATTCCCATATCTGCCAAAACTCCCCCGAAATCCCTTTTTAGTAGTGTGAATGCCCATACAATGGATAGGAATCATCATCATTGCCCTTCATGCCCACTGGCGTGTACGAGAGCAACAAAGGTCCCGTACGTCTGTCTGTCTCTGGCCAGCCTCTCAATGGTACTCCAAGTGTTTTTCATTTCTACTTCAACAGTTCGGCGCCGTGTTGTCTTGGGTCGTCCTTATTTCTGCTTCCCTTCAGGGGTCCAGTGCACAGAAGTCTTTGTGATGGAGTGTCCATCTTTCCTGAGCGTGTGCCCAATCCAGCTCCAGCATCTTTTCATAATGATGGTGGCCAAATCACCTTGTTTGCACTGCAAAAGCAGGACCTGCTTTTAAATTATTCTTGGCTAAAAATATGGAGGATACTCCAAAGACTTTTGGTGTGAAAAGTCGACAATTTATTGAGGTCGTGCTCTGTCATTCACCAGCATTCTGATCCATATAATAGTGTTGATAAAATACAGCTTTAATAAAACTTCAGTTTGGTGTGGATGCTGTACTGTGATAATGAATAGGATTAGCCATACAATTAATATAATTATACACACCCCTGTGTACTGTTTACAGCAATTTTACCCATGAAGGTTTTGTAGCTTAAAGTCTCTTAATCATTAACTAAAAGCGGGGAGAGAAGGAGCCATCACCCTGAATGCATTTTATGTAGCTAGTAAGGCTGTGTCCACACTCAGGGGTTCTTTCGAAAAAAGTAGCCTTTTTTCGAAAGAACTTCCCCTGCATCCAGACTCAAGCCGCGTTCTTTCGAAATTATTTCGAAAGAACGCGGCTTTTCTTTCGATGGCGGTAAACCTCGTTTCACGAGGAAGAACGCCTTCCTTCGAAAGTTCTTCTTTCGAAGGAAGGCGTTCTTCAATGTAAAGAGGCTGTCTTCGAAAGAAGCCTGCAGTCTAGACACACCTTAAGAGAAAGGGAGGGGGAGGATAACACTGCTTTTGCACACAGGCTGCGTCTAGACTGGCAGCTGCTTTTGCGGAAAAAATTACCAGCTGTCTATACTGGCTGCTTGAATTTCCGCAAGAACACTGACGATCTCATGTAGGATTGTCAGTGTTCTTGCGGAAATACTGTGCTGCTCCCATTCGGGCAAAAGCCCTCTTGCGCAAATGCTTTTGCGCAAGAGGGCCAGTGTAGACAACGCGGTATTGTTTTGTGCAAAAAAGCCCTGATCACGAAAATGATGATCGGGGCTTTCTTGCGCAAAACCGCATCTAGATTGGCACGGACGCTTTTCCGCAGAAAGTGCTTTTGCGGAAAAGCGTCCGTGCCAATCTACACACTCTTTTCCACAAATGCTTTTAATGGAAAAACTTTTCCGTTTAAAGCATTTGCAGAAAATCATGCCAGTCTAGACATAGCCACAGAGTATTCATTAGAAAGTTACATTTCTTGTACAGTTACCCAGTCTTATCTACCTTAACAAACAGGAAATAAGGGGAAGCAAACTTCATCCATCAAGCAAAAGAAATAACGCTTGCCTACCAAAAAGAGTAATGCCTGCCTTTCACCATACTCATATCAGGGTAATGATTACCCAGGACTTTAGTTAAGTCTTATATACCCCAAAATATCTGCAGAGACTACTACCCAAAGTTCTCCACTCGTTATAGAGAACGGAGAGTTCAGATCTGAGGAGAATGACTGTCACACAGGGCCGACTTATCAGTTGGGCACAGTAGGCACACTTCTAGGGGCCCAAGAAAATGTTTTCATTTCTTTTCAAATCGGAAGAAAAAAAAAGAACTTTCAGGGTCGAAGAAAATATTTTAATTTTTTTCTCACATCAGAAAAAAATGAAACTTTTAGCACCCATGAAAATCTATGTAATTTTGTCTAAAACAGAAAAAAAATGTTGAAGTATTTAAAGTTATATCAAAAATAATTTTTAATATTTTTTTATGGAGCAAGGGGCACATGAAGGCAAAAGTGCCTAGGGCCCACGAAAGTCATAATGCAGCCCTGCTGTCACTCAATTCAGTGGGATGGGAACAAACTCAGAACCACTCACAAGAATTTGACCAGTAGTGTTCACGTGCAGAGGAATGAAGCAAGAGTATTTTATTGAAAAATGTGTCTGGAAAAAGTCTGGTTTTGATAAAGAGTGATTCTAACAGTAACAAATTTTGTAGAAAGAAAGAAAGAAAGAAAGAAAGAAAGAAAGAAAGAAAGAAAGAAAGATTCAACTGGACCATATTTAAAAAGAACTGTATCAGTTTATGTCGGTTATGATATATTGAAATTTGTCCTATGCCTGTTTCTGAAAGCGACTGATATAAGAATGGCTTTTCTCAGGCACTCCATGACCTCTTTGTTTCTCAGGCAGTAGATGAAGGGGTTGATCATGGGACTCAGGACTGTGTAGAAGACAGAGAATATTTTGTGAAGGACTTTGGGTGTGTAAACAGTTGGAACCACATAGACAGCCATCAGGGTCCCATAGAAAAGTGTCACCATGATAAGGTGGGAGGAGCAGGTGGAAAAGGCCTTTTGCCTCCCCGTGGTGGACGGGATTTTCAGGATGGTGGTGATGATACAAATGTAGGACACCAGAGTCAGTAGACAGGGCACAACAATACACAGGGTAGCAAAAGTAAATTCCATTAGTTGCAGATTTTGGGTGTTGTCACAGGACAGCTTTACAATGGGTGAAAAATCGCAGAAGAAATGGTCGATTTCATTGGAATCACAGAACATTAATTGGAACAAGAAGATATTTACTGTGGTGCAGCTTAGAAGGCTACTTATCCAGGACCCGACCACCAGCTGGCCACACACCCGGCCGTTCATCAGAGCAGCATAACGCAGGGGGTTGCATATCGCTAGATACCGATCGTACGACATGGCCGCGAGCAGAAAATTTTCTGTAATTGATATGACACCAAAGAAATATTCTTGAACAAAGCAGCCCTTCACAGAGATGGTTCTGTTCCCAGTCAGGAGACTGGCCAGCAGCCTGGGCAGGACGCTGGATGTGTAGCAGGTCTCCAAGCAGGCCAAGTTGCCCAGGAAGAAGTACATGGGGGTGTGAAGGTGCTGATCAGCCACAACTAGTGCAACGATGAGGAGGTTCCCGGACAAAATCACAAGGTAGATCACTAGGAACAGCAGGAAGAGGAGGGGCTGCAGTTCAGGGACCTCCCCAAATCCTAAGAGGATGAATTCGGCAACAGGCGTTTGGTTTCTTCCCTCTACTTTCTCCATTATCACTATTTAGAAAAAGAAATCAATGATATTTTGAGGGAATAACTACAGGCAGATTGTGCTGTCAGAGGAGGTCTGGAGTGGGTTACCTCCCACCCCTCCATCTCTCTACTAGAAGCATCAAGTTGTCTTTAAACAGTGAAAGACTCATGTAATGAATGTGTCGGGCTTCCAGTGTAGGTGAACCAGGAGCATGGAACCCAACTGAATGATAGGAATGTCCCATCTAAGGGGCTTTCAAGTAGGAATAAGAGATCCTCCAGAAAAGAGCTTATTTTCCGGAGGATCGCGTCCAGACCGGCACTTTTCTCCGGCTTAACTACAAGCCGGAAAAAAGCGGCAGCC